AATTTTACATATATGCATGAGTATCTTTGTACCCGCATATTTTCTAATATTATAATATGAGATTGTTTGGTGAGCTAGTGGTTGCTCACCCCTTGCCTGTACATGTGTACAGGGAATGTTTTTCGGATTTGAAGATCAAACAACGGGTTTTACCATTTCATAAGTGTAATGTAGTGATGGATTGTACTATTTCATTTGTTTGTTTGGCAGAGTGCTATCTTTTTGTAAAGAGTAGTGTCCTCTCTTTTATTGTAAGCCTTAGGGCATTTCTTTTATTCGTATGTAAATGTCATTGTTGTATCACGAGAGGGAACTTATACACTTAATTATTCATCATTTCATCCAAGGATGAATTATCTATTGTAAATGAACTTAATTAATGGATTTTGGTAATGTTATCCGAATAATAAAATACGGGGCGTGACAAGAACTAAGCCTAATTAATCAGCCAAATGAGGTAATTAGTAAACTAACCTAATTAGATCTTAAGTTAGAAAGTTAGAGAAAGATGGAGAAGGTTAGAGTTCTTGTGTTACGACCCGCTCCCCGTACCCAAGGATTAAGCATCGTGATGGCTAGTAACTGAAGTTACCTACGGCCAATTCTTGAACAAATAAATAAACGCGAGCGGAAGAAATATTTAAATGAGGGTACCAAAATAATCATTGGAGCTTCTATTTTTTATTACAAAATGTATTGGTCAAAAGACCGATATTTACATATAAACATATCATAAAAATGCTGTGTGTGTCTATTCTGCAGCCCCGCATCTAAGACTTTCCAAAAGCTATTTCCTGAAAATTGGTAAACAACTATAAGCACATGGTAGAGTGAGAAATATTATACCAAGAGTATATGGGACACGAAATAACCATGGATAGTTATGTAGCTAAAACATTTACTTAACTCAGTTTGGTAAATAAATCATTGGTAAACAAATCCTTTAAGTAGGAAAACTGAAATACAGAAATTATGAAAGTAAATGAGCATAACCACGGTACAGAACATAACAAAATAGAGGTTATAGAAGTGACAGTCAGAACAGAGGTACAGATTCAAGAGGTGGCTCGTACGGATTCTAGAGGTGGCTCCCACAATAGTGTAGCACTTTGCTCCGTACAGCACTTTGCTCCGTACAGAACAGACGTCAATAGATCCATGACAAACAGAGGATCACAAAGTGGTCAAAAAGAGACCGATGGTTATTTAAGTCCCCTAAGGCATGGGACTCCCATGGTGGTACTTACAAAACATAATTGTTTATAAGGTCATAGTCAAATATTCTTTAAAAGTAAAACAAATATATCCATGGGTTTCTTTTTAGCAAATAGGGTTCAGAAGTTAAACCACGTAACTGAAACATTAATATAGTTTATAATAATTTATAAAACATAGCTTATATAAAATAAATAATGGTAAGTCAAAACATACATATAATATATTTTGGTGACTCAAGATATAATATAACTCACCTTATCTTTAATACCTTACTCTTTCTTTCCACTATCAAAGACCCTTTCAACTTCCACTATTTTTTTCCTTTCTTTTCTTTCTTCTTTCCTTTCCTTTTTTTCTTTTTCCTTTCTTCTTTCTTTCTTCTCCTTTCTTCTTTCCTTTCCTTCTCCAGGTGTGATACGCCTCCCTTTTATAAGAGGGAGAGAACATACGTGGCAGATTCTATAATAATTATAAAGATTTATTCTTATCCTTAATAGATATTTAATTAAATTACACTTTATCTTATACTAACAGAAAATTAATTATTTAATTTACTATCACACCCATTATTATTATTATTTATTTATACTTGGACCCCTAAACTTTTAATAATTATATTATTTTACAATATTACACATAATAATATATAATAAATTATATATTTTCCGAACTGAGATTAAATAATATTAGTATAAATTCTACAGAATAATTAAAAATCTGGGTTGTTACATCTTGAGCTAAGAGGAAGGACAAGGAGAAAAAGAAGGAGAAAAGAAGGAAATTCAAAGAAACATTGGAATTCAAGCCTAGAAATCTCAAGAAAATCATCAAAAGGTAAGAAACTCAATCCTCTTCCATAATTTCATGTCAACAACTAGCTACAAATTCATTAGAAACAAGTTTGGAATGATTGAAGTGAAAGGAAAATAGGAAAGTTTGAAAATAAGAAAAAGGATTGAAGAATTCATTGAAAACTTAAGTTTTGAATTGGTTTTATGATAGATTTGAACTATCTAATAGATATAATATGAACCTACATCATTTATTTGAGCTTAGGAAGCCTTGGAACTTGATTTGAGTGATTGAAAGTACAAGAACAAAAGAAAATTTTGAAAAGATTTGGGACTTAGATTCAATTCACCTTTTATTTGTTTAATCCCTAAATCAATGTATATTCATGAGTTTTTATGGGTTTTGCATTATATATATATACATATATATACACATATTAGGATGTTAGGAATCATGTTTGGGACTATGGAAGTGTGAAAATTGAGTTGAGAACAGCGAAGAACAGCCCAGCCCCGCGATTGAGTTCTTCTCCCGCGCATGCGGCAGGAAGCATTGCACGTGCGGAAATGGTCCCCGCACGTGCGGCCAACCAACCTAGAAATCAATTCATCACTATTTTAATTGCACGTGTGGCTCTGTTCCACTGCACGTGCGGTTTGCAAGGTTTTGCCTATTTCATTTTCTTCGACCCTTGGACACCCTTATACGTGTTTTGAACCTTATTAAATGTTGAAATACACTTAGAAACCAATCTAAATCGAGATAAGTTACAAAAGAGAAACCAGAGTAAAATTAGTTCGACTATTATGCTTTTATTTCATCGGCATTCGTATTTTGTTGCGTAGATCAGGTCATTAAGGGATTCTACCGAGCACGAGCCATTTGTGAGTAGTATTATTGTAATGTTATGTTAAAATTGTTTTAAGTCTATTGATATGCCATGATTTATGAAATTTCCATTTTATCACTGAATGGATGAATGTCCTTTATTTTACTTAAAGTTATCAATGGCATCTTTAGATTAGTCTTAAGTCATGGGGGACAGCAACATGGTCCATGACCTATTTGAGATCTTTTAGCCACCTGATGATGTGGCGTTGTTTAACTAGTACCTGGGCCGGTTATTCCATTAAGTAGTTCTAATGGATTTACCATATATCATGCTTACTTATGGAATGTAATGTATGAATGTAATGTGAATTGAACCTTTGTTATAAGCTTGGAATTCATTCATTACCACCTTACCATAATATTATTCACTAGGCTTGGCTTATTCTTTATATATATATATATATAAATATATATATATGTAGGTGATCAAAAGGAGGAGCACCATTAGTGAACATGGACTTTAATATGGAGTTTTCTTTGTTTATCTTTTTTTCTTTTTGTTATCTTTTATCCTTTTGGGAGAAAGCTTTTGAGAAGTGAGTTTTATGTATAAGCAAGTTCTGTACTTAAGGATGTTATGCTACACTTTTGTTCTTTGTATATGTAAATGATGTAAATTATACAGGGAATAAGCAATAAAGATGTGTATGTTCTTTCATATTACTTATGCGCTACTCTTGAACTTATGATTAACTAATGGAAGTTCTACTATTTAGACCTATATATATATATATTAGTCCTTTGTGGTCTTGTTAAGGTAGACCTTTGGTAATCAAAGATTATTGGCTGATTACCACTCCAGCCTATAGGGACGGGTTGGGTCGTGACAATGGTAGTAGTAGCGGAAATAGTAACGATGGTAGTAGTGGCCATAACGGCTATGGTGTAATGGCTGTTGTTGTTGTGGTGATGGTGGCAGCAACGACGGTAGTTGTGGTAGTGGTAGTGGTAGTGGTAGCAGGGACATGGTGGTGGTAGAGATAGTGATGGCGCTGGTAGTGGCGGTGGCATGATGATGGTGGTGGTGGCATGGTAATAGCGATAGTGGTGGTGGTAGCGGTAGTGATGCTTATGTTTAATATTTATAGATTTAGTCAAAATTAAGTAAGTTTCATATGACTTAAATTTTTCTTAAATTTTAATCTACATTTTAATATACATTTAAATTTTTAAATGATATCAATTGTGATTATCAAACAGACTTAATTAATTATCATTTAATATATTTAATTTTAAGTGTAAAATCATAATATCAAACACTTCTGATTTTCCTACTAATTATCCCAAAATAAATCAATGTGACCCATGTCGTTTTAGTTGTATTAGGCAGAATCAAATCATTTTCCTTTATTTCTCAATAAACAATTTGACCCACGATCGAGAGATAAAAAAAAGGATTCCATTTAAGTATAGAAGGTAGATAACATAGAAAAATAATTTTTTTTTGAATTTAAAATTAATAAAATTAAATGAACACTATCTGACATAAACAAACTTTTCTACTAAAAAAAAGGATTCCATTTAAGTATAGAAGGTATAAAAAAAAAGGATTCCATTTAAGTATAGAAGGTAGATAGCATAGAAAAATATATATTTTTTGAATTTAAAATTAATGAAATTAAATGGACACTATTTGACATAAACTAACTTTTCTACTTTATTTATTTATTTTTTTTTTCGTAAGCAGTTTAAAAATTATACTTATTGAGATTATTTTAAACACCTTTTTTTCTGTATATTTTTTTAATAAAAAGTCAAAAAAAAAATATTTATTTAAATTATTCTAAATACTCATTTTTTCAAAATCAAAAAATATATTTATTTAAATCATTCTCTTTTTTTTTTTTTTTTAAAAAAAAAAATCATTCTAAACACTCTTTATCAAAAAAAAAAGGAAAATATTTAGTAGCTCAAAAGGTTCAAATCTGTCAAAACGACATCGTTTTACACACATTTACACTCAAAACGACATCATTTTAAATAATTTAAGCCATTTAAATTACAAAATTTTAAACTAATTGACATTGTTAAAAAAAAATATACTTATTTAACTCCTCATCCCCAATTCAGAAAAAATGAGAAGTATAAAATCAAACGTCACCCACGGGTTACAATTTCAAAACAATTCGAACACGCCCTGGCGCGGTTTTGCAGTTTTGCTGGGCTTTGACAAACCACCCGAAATACTCCGATCCAAGGGCATCAATCTTGACTCAAAGCTTCGTCTTTTCGCAATCGATTGGTAAAACTCTGTGAAAGTTGTGCGATTCAATCAATGATAAATGGAGAAGCAGAGGCGAGTGGTGTGCCCCGAGAACGATAATTTGGCGGAGTTCATGTGGAAGAAGAGGCAAGAAATGGCGGAGAGACCTAAAGGGATTTTGGAGAACATCGAGATGACTCTTCACAAAGCATACTCCAATGTGTGCAACTCCAAGAGCCCCATTAGAACCCTCAAAGACTTCTCCCAAATCAAGTAAGTGAACCATCCAAAAATAAGTTTAAATTTATTTATTTATTTATTTATTATTATTATTATTGTGGAAAATGGGTTATCTTTTCTATGCTGCATTGAGGTGTGTTGCGGGCGTGTAGTGTAAAGAGAAAAAAATTGGGAAAATGTATGGCTTTGATTTACTTTTATTTGGGTACTAAGAACAATAACAATTGAATTTTTTTTAGCTGATGCTAATCTAGTAAATTTGATTTAGTTGAGGACATCAAGAACCGAAGCGGCAGATGGATAAATTGTTGCTTGGGTGCGAGGCACAACGAGAGATAGATAGGTAGTGCAGTGAGAAGATTGTGTTGACAGAGGGAAACACTATGGTACACACCTATGCACCTTATAACTAAAGAATAAAATAGCACAATTTCATACTTTTTGAGTCATAATTAAAAAAAAATTGTCATAACTACACACAACATGATAACTAAGATCTCAGAAGTCATAACTAAAATTTTGTCATAACTAAAGAAGAAAATTTGGCATAACTAATGAAAAAAATTTGTCATAACTAATGAAGAAAGTGGCATAACTAGGGGTGCATGTGGTACACCCCTTTCAAGGGGTGTGTATATTAGAATTCCCGTTGATAGATCTCAATGAGAAGTGTTTTTCTTTATTTCTGCAATATTTTTTTTAAATGCACACACACACACACACATTTAAAGTATAGATTAATTGTAATGGTTTATATTATTTAATTTTTATTTATTTATTTAAAAGGATCATTTTGGTTTTAGTAATTCTTGTATGAAAACATATAGATGTTTTAATTGATTATAGTATGAATTTATCAATTTGAGTGGTATGTTCACCATAAATGAAAATGCTAGGGGGAAGGAAAGACCTAAATTGACATGAGATGTGGTAGCAAAAAACATATATGAATTTATTAAATATTGAAAAAGGATTCATGCAGCCTACCTTACTTGAGTAACACAACGTGTAGTTTGGCTTGGTTTGGTATTAGTTTGAGTGGTCATACCATTTGAAACACCCTTTCTTATGTAAATTTCGAGCAAAAGAGGGAAATGTCTAAGAAATTGGTTCTGCTCAAGTAATCTAGTGATTGTGATTAGAACTTAGTCTATTCATGTAAATCTACCTATGAAGCATGTGTATGGGCACGTGCATGGGTATGGATACTGGTATGTTGTAAAAAAAAGTAGGATATTGGTACAACTGGGTACATCCGTAAAAAATGTCTATTATTTAATTTGAAGAAATGCATAAATTACTTAAATGGTTTAATTGGTTAAATATTTAACTTATAACCCACATTTTAAAGAACCTACAAACTTAAGCTTAATTTTAAAAAGGGTTAATTACATCAAAACCCCCTCATATATGAACGCATACATTTTGACCCTTCAACCATAAAAACTGTACAAATTGCCCTCTCTTGGAAAGGGCAAGAGTGGATGAAAGTGATGCATTATAGTTGAGGGGGTGTGCTCTCTCCAAGGTTTAGGGATCGAAATCTCTTAGGTGCTAACAATTCCTTGGGGCCATCGGACTGGGGAAAAACCCTTAAAATTAACCGTAGTGTACTTGCGGGAAACTCCTTGCCGAGGGCTTGTGCATCCCTAAGGATTAGTTGGGTTTTGATCCGAACACCTAGTGCTGATAACAAAAAAAACACGACATATGTATGGGTTCATGGATAAGATGATATTTGCAAATAGTTGAGAAGTCTTAAATTTAAAAAGCATGGACATAGACATGAACACTGATATGGACACGAACACGAACATGGACACGAACACAAGCACAAACATGGACACGAACACAAGCACAAACATGGACATGGGACACTGATTTTGAAAAACTTGGGATACGGACACAGTAGATAGGGGTGTTCACAGGTTGAGTTGGGTTGGATTCACTGTTAGCCCGTCACCCTAACTGACTTGCTAACTCACCCGATATTGACCCACATACCATTCGAAGCCGACTGTTCGTTTCACTGGATTTTCGATCAGTAACGGTTGGTTTTGATTTTGGGCCAAAATACATAGAAATGGGATGCAAAGGAGAGGAGAGAGAGAAGAGATGAAATCAATAAAAGCAAATCTCATAACTATAGTACCAAATATAAATCTTACAAATCTCACAAATCTCAACATGGAATCAACATCATAACTATAACACCAAATATAAATCTTACAAATGTCACAAATCTCAACATGGAATCAACAAAACACAAATCTCAGAAACCTTGATACTAAAAACAAATAAACGAAAATCTCATAAATTCCATTTATGGCATTGTTGATACCAAGGTCGATAGTGGAGCGGCACCATATACAGTGACTATCGTTGCTTCTTCACCATCTCTCAGCCACCATCAGAGAGATGAAAGGCCTCTATGTAAAGGAAAAAGGGAAAGTGTCATGACCCCAACCCAACTTTAGAGGTTAGAGAGGTGACCGGTCAACAATCATAGTTTATCTAAGGTTTGTCTAGACAAATCACAAAATGTTTAATGTAATAGGGCCTGAGATGGAAGCAATCAGAAATTAAACCTGCCCATTGAGTAGTGCATAAATAACACGGAAATATCATATACTTATTATTACTTCACCTACATAATTAAATTAATTACAAACATTCACAAGACGCAATCACGAAGTGTTGACTCTTCAAAACTTTCCCTAAAGGAGGCAAACAAAAGCCTTAGCGTAAGCAACAACTCCAAAAAGGCTTCCGTAAAGGTCTTCAAATGCAAACTGGTTGCTCTTCATGTTGCTCACCTACATATATATAGGGAAAGCGGGTGAGCTCAAGCCCAATGAGTAACATTAAAGTAAAGTGGTAATGAATGAATTCCAAACTCATTAGTAAAGGGTCATTTCATATAGCATGTGGAAGAGCATTCATACATATCATATAATTATCTCATAAACAAAGCATGATACATGGTACATCCATTAGAGCCTCTTAATCGAATAATCAACCCGGGAACAATTAGACAATCCACACTTCGGTGGCGATGGAGATCAAATATAGTCATGGTATATTTAGACTATCCCCCTATGATTGGGACTATCTAAGGATGCCATTGATAATTTTAAACAAAATACAGAATATTCATTCATTCAAAATCAAAATAAAGATTTCTCAAATCATGACATATCATCTAACTTTTCCAAACTAATTTTGAAACAAAACTTTACAATAGTATTACTCACAGTGAGTTTGGTTCCAGTAATGCTTTCCGACGGTCTGACCTACATGATGCATATATATAAACATTGATAAAGCAAAAGTAATTAATTGAACTTAACTTCTCTTTTCTAATTCATTTAATTAAAGTTGGTTTTTGATTATGTTCAACTCTCATTAGACTTAATACATGCATTGCGATGTTCGGAGGGTCAAAAGGGTTGAAAGGAAACAAAATTTCAAAAACTCTGTTTTCCGCACATGCTGAAGGCTTGGCCGCAAGTGCGGAAGGGTCGGCGCACATGCGGTTATTTCAGAACTGAGAGCCCTATTTTGGGGTGCTGGCTGTACGTGCGGGGCTTATAGCCGCATGTGCGATTTTGGAAACTTTATGCTGTTCGCAAAATTCTTCTTGGTTCAAAGCTTCATCTACTCCAATTCATACCAAAACTCATACAAAACCCATCCTGAATTATGTAAATTTATCATTATACAAGGAAACGTGATTAATCTTCAACTCATTTGCATTAAAACTTCATATAACTTCAAGATTCAATTCAAAATTTCTATGAATGTTATGATTTTCAAAACTTTCTTCTTTTTTCTTCAAAACATGAAATTAAAGTTTCAAAACCTTTGAAAATCAATGATGCATGTTAAACTGAACCCCAAATTCATCAAAAGTAAATAAATTCAAACCCAAAATGTTAAAATTTCCAAATTAATTTCTTGATTCTTCAATCTAATTCAAATTCTTTGGGCTTGTTTGGTTTGTTTTTGGGAGAGTTGTTTTTGAAAAAAATTTTGGGAAGAGAGTTTAGAAATTTTTTTGGTTTGTTTGATTGTATATTTTGGGAGAGTTGTTTTTTTGGGAGTTTGGGATGATTTGATATTTTGGGAGAATTTGAGTAGATGTGTGTGAGAGAAAAAGTGATTGAGAAGGAGAGAGGAGAGAGAAAAAGTGATTGATTGATGTGCAAGAGAGAGAAAGTGATTTTAGAATTTTTTTGAGAAAAACTCAAACCAAACAATTTTTAAGAATTTTTTTTCTATAACTCATCTCCCAAATGCAAACCAAACATACCCTTTATTCTTTTCTTCATTTCTTTTAAATTACATGAATTTGAACTTAATTTCTTCTTGAATTCAATTATTAGATGAATTTCCTACAAAAATTTGGCTTAGATTTCTTACCTAGGCATATAACACAAGGCAGGGCTTAGGGTATTCAAAGGTGGATATTAATGTAGTTATAGTCCGTGGCATTCTTTGGGGTGTCACAATAGGTCAGTGCAATGTACCCAAATGTTGAAGGATACTTGCAACACGTTCTCTTTTTCTAGTAGTTACTATATAAAACACTTATGAAGCACAATCAAGAATTACAAATCTTCTCTGCTCTAACATTGAGATTATGTACATTAGACTTGATGAAGTGTGCACTTTCTCTTTCTTTCTTTCTTCATTTTATTTTATTTTATTTATTTATTTTTGAGATAAGATTATAAATATGCTTTGAAGATTCACATCAATTCTATATGGTTAGGAATATAGTCTATCAGGAATTCTTTTCTCTTCCCCTTACCCCTCTCCTTGGCCTTTTTTTTTTTGCTAGCCAACAGAAATTGCATCCCATGTGGTTATTTTATATTAGAGTTGTGTGTAAGTAGCTCCATAATCCAAATAACGGAATATTAATGTCTTCTTGTTGCAATGGTTTGTGTTATATTTGTGGTAGGGGTGTGGGGAAATGGATTTTGAGGCTCATGCAGGAGTATTTTGGGACTGATTCTGGTGCTTCTGAACAGGAGGATATAACAAAAAAGGGTAATTCGAATTTCTTTTGGGGCTTACATAATTTGATTTTTTAAAAATATTTTCCTATAGTAATTTTATTTCAATCTTTATTTGTTTCATATTTTAGGGAAGAAATCTAAAGGAACTAAACGATATGTACCTCAAAAGAATTCTGTAGCCTACGCCCTATTGCTCTCTCTTTACAGGTAGACACCAAATTATTAAATTTGTTTTATTATAAATTTTCAGTTGATTTCATTTAGTAACTTGAAGTGATTGCTTGAGGAATATGTATTATTAAAACTGTAGGGGGACTGCGAGTGGTAGTGATTTTATGCGTAAACAGGAACTGATTGATGCTGCTGAAGCAAGTGGGCTTTCTCGGGTTCCAATTATGTATGTTCACTCTAGTTAGTATTTTCCATTTATTTTAAATTTTACCAGTTGTTATTCATCAATGAGTTTTGAGTTTATTTTGAAACTGGCCTTTGATGTTCTTAGGCCAGAAAAGGTAAAAGGAAAGCCTGGACAATTTGGAAGTTCACCAAAGGACTGGTATAGTGGATGGAGCTGCATGAAGACGTTAATCACTAAAGGATTGGTTGTAAAGTCTAGTTGCCCTGCAAAGTATGCTTGCAATTTTTCTCTCTTTTCTTCACTTATTGTGATTATCCTTTGACTTCTTGATGTTGATAAGCAGTATGATGTAGTGTAATGGAGAGAGAGAGAGAAGCATTAAAGATGCCACAACCTAAATCAGTCACAATATAAAGCCAAATCTCCATAATACATTTAGAAATCTATAATTTATTGATCATATAACCCTCAGTAAATTAGGAAACCGACCTAATATTATTTGGAAACAAAATCAAAATATTTTACTAATATTTATATATTTAAATCTCACTAAATACTATTAACAATAATCTACCAATTACATTTGTGAGACCAAAATTTCTTTAGTCCATGCAATGGATCCACGGGTTTCACCCTAGGCTTGTAAGGGGTGTACTTCATTGAGGCATCAATGAAAGAACAAGTGTTGGCACGTACAATGTTTGACATTACAGTCACAAGTGATGGTGTACTTCATTGAGGCGTCGATGAAAGAATAAGTGTTGGCACGTACAATATGTATGATATCATGGTCCCAAATCTGTACACGGCCCAAAGACAAAGCGTAAGAGGTAGAGTATCATACATTACCGTCTTTGAGCTTGCCAATGTTAAATGTCACAATGCACTGCTTTACTGACCTTAAGTTTGTTATTGGTGATCCATGCCACGTGATAAGGTTTGGATGCGGCTCTACTTTCAAACTCAATTTCTTCATAGCTTCTTCGGACACAACATTTGTGCAACTCATAGTATTAATCACCAAAGAGTGCGCTTAATCATCACAACTCAACCTTGTATGAAAAATCTTTCCTCTTTGAAGTTTTTTGAGTTCCTTTATGCCTTGGTTAGTAGAAGCCAACCAAGATCGAATAGTGCCAATCACATAATCCAAGATATCATCATTGTACTTGGGGTCAACATGATCAACAACTTGCACATCAATATCTCTTCGTCGCTTTTCCAAAAAAAAAAAAAAAAAAACCTTGCACATCAATCTTTGAATCCTCGGATTTTGTTACCCTTGTAGAGCCTTCATTTTTTGCCAGAACAATTGACTTAATAGACACATTAATTTTAGGTCAAGAACAATCCAGAGCATGATGTCCAAGCCCTTGGCAATAAAACATTTGGGCCTAGTGTTTCCTTTGTATGAATATTGAGTAGTAGGAATGGTATGGGGTGACCTTGTTAAGTCACCGATTTTTCCAATAGCTTAAGCTATTAGGAAATGGGCCCAATAATGTATTTTAAGTTTATCCAACACCCTTCCTCACATGCAACCCCATCTTACGTGTGGAGAGACAAGCAAGCAGCCAAACAGAGGAAAACTAAATGGGGACAGAATACCAAATGTTAATGGAGAGATTTGAACCCACGATCTCTCTCAACTTAAGCTTTGATACCATGGTAGGTGTTATAGGGTCAATTTCTGTTTTAAATTTTCAGCCTATAATGGCACTAAGTTACAGCACTAAGTTACAGCACTTAGTCTCAGCCAATTATCAATACACACCCACACAAAGTGTTAGAACAAGTAAGAGAGTAGGCAGCAAGAGATTACAGGAAAATTCCCAACCTTTATTAATTGCACCAACAATACAAAGGAGTGCCTATGGAAACTCTTACAATATTTAGTTATTTTCGAGTTCCATGGCGATGCCTTAAATAGGCTTACAATCAGTTACAAACATACAACCAGCATTACAAGAAAAGCATGCCAAGTGGCATAGTAGTTGACACCCCCAACTGCCTAGGGACTTAGGAACAATTCTGGGACTAACTTCTAATAACTGCTGCTATCTCCTAGCCTTGGTTGCTAATTTCCAGGCTTGTCTTGTCTTTGCCCAACATAGGTAACTGTTGCCAATAGACATGCATAACCGCTGATAACTGCTATGTTGTTTGCCTCATCAAGTCAGCCACGAATTTGGTTGTCTTGGCCACCAGACCAAGTCTTGCATATTGATTGCTTTCAACCCCCAAGTATGCTGCAGCCCACATTCGGGTCATGTTAATGCCTTGCATCTGTGCAATTGCTGCCCATACTTTGGCCAAGGGTTGTGTACTGGTGCCTCAGCACTTCGTCAACTTTTCACCTTGCTGTCTTGGCATGCCACCATCATGCCATGGCCTTGGTTGGACATTGGCGCAAGGTGTTGCCAATGCCAACCATGCAGCCTTCAAGCAGAAGGTGCTAATAGTAGGTCACTGATTTCCCAAAAGCTTAAGCTATTAAGAAACGGTCCCAACAATGTCAATTAAACTATCCATCAGACCTGTCAAGGAGTTTTCCATGCTTGGGGTTCACAAAAGTTCTTTCACTTCTCTTAACAGTGTCTATGAGAGCACACACAGAAGTCATTTTTTGTATTTTTTTCCTGCATTTGAAGAGCTACTTTTACTGCATCTGTTGTAAAGTAGTCTGCTAGCAGTCCACCAGAAATCTGAGGATTTAATTTAACCCTCGGCAATACATGGAGATAATTACGTCTTCAATAAATGAAAATTTAGATATAGTGTCCAAATTGTAGAAAAACCTCGTGTACTCTTGCACAAACTTGTTTTCATGAGTGAACTAAATTAACCGCAAGTGGGCTTTTTGCTTGTGGCTTAATGGAACAAAATAACGGTTCGTAGAGAACTTTATATCTTCCCATGTTTGGATAGTGGCATGATGCTCTTGCTATATTTGGTCCATCAAATTCTGGCTGTACTCTTCAGTTTAGCTTCAGTAAAAAAATAGTTTCCTTTCATTGGTCAATTGGTTCCAACTAAGGAAAGCCTCCAAGCTACTTGTCCAATTAAAGAATACCTTTGGGTCTTGATCTCTACTAAAATTGGGGACTTCACATGATGCAACATCTATCGCATGGTTAAACAAGTACGATAGGCTTTGGAAGGCCAACACAAAAAGGGTCCTATGATCGTCACAAAGCCTTTTTGGTCCAAAGAGAAGTGTCCGTGGTAGTGTTTAGTAGCTAAGGGTATTATGGTAATCTCAATATTGCTGGACATAGGTTTCCTATTTTGGTTCAAGTTATTAAATGGGTCATTATATACGTGTTTTATTATATCTAAAATAATCTTAGTGGTTAAAAGTTCAAGTTTCCTATTTTGATATTGAAGTAGAATTAGAAGTCATTAAAGTCTCCTATTATGATTGAAGTAGAATTGGAAGTCATAGTTGGTCTAGAATATTAGTAGTTGCCAAATATTTTGTTTCTAAATTTGAGTTCCAGCCCTTGTAGAATTAGGAGTCTTTAGCCTATAAATATGTATAATCTCAATGATTCATAGAAGAGTTGATATTATGAAAATTTGAGATTGTGTTTGTGCGATTGGCCTAACCCTTGTGAGGGTGAATCACCTCATTCTCTCTCCATTCTTTTATCTAGCAAGGTTACTATTCATTTCACTGTTCACAGCACTTCCAACAACCACCCAATAGCCTCTAAACCCGTCTTGTTTTCATTCCCAAAACCCTGCCCTTTTTACAGACCCTTAAACTTTTGCATTTTTAATACATTCTGCAACCACAAAATCCCACAAAATCTAGCCTTATAAAACCAGTTGTTGTTGCTGCTAGTATATTTTTCCAGGCTCACTATCTGCAGGAAAGTAATCCGTACTCATCCTACATGATTTTCGTATTAGAGCTTCAGGATCCTACCTTTATTCTCTACTGCTATTTTTTTTTTTTGGACAAAGTTGTTTATTGAATACCATGGTGACAAATGCTGAATTGAATTCCAAGTTCGAAGCCACCTCAAAAGATTACGGGGCTACCACCAAGGAAGATGTTGCAATGTTGAAGGGTGATGCTTCAATGTTAAAGAGTGACGTACGTACCATCACTACAACTTTCGAGGAGATGAAAGTATTAATGAAAAGGTTGTCAACTACTATCTTGGGCAAAAAGCCTATTGAAGAAAGCACGGGTCAAGAATGTGGTGCCTCAAATATCCATGTTTCTTCATCCCCTAACAAGCAACGAAATTTTGAACAAATTCTTCCACAACTAGCACCAGCCCGCTATCAAGAAAATCCTAGATTAGTTGATGTTTATAGAAGCACTAAGCTTGAAGTTGGAGATCTAATGGGGACAACAATCCGGAATTATTCCTTGATTGGTTGCATAGCCTAGAGAGTTTCTTTAGGTGGTATCGTTTGAGGGATGAGAGAAAACTCTTCTTTGCGGGGGTTAAATTGAAGGGAACAACTAGAGTTTTGGGCAAAATACCAACAAATGCATTATGTTGCCATTAGATCATGGGTAGGTATAAAGATTGCAATGACTCGATACTTTGTACCAGTAAACTACAAACGTGTCCACTTACAATTCACACAATTGGTGCAAGGAAGTATGTTGGTTGAGGAATACACCAGGAAATTCTATAGTTTGACTACAAGATTGGAATTTCCATCGAATGAAGATGTTATGATTTCGATGTATCGACAAGGGTTAAACTCACAAATCTCTTGGGGCTAGTTGCTAATCGACTTTATACCATGGCAAATGCGGTTAAAGTAGCTTAGCAGATGGAAGAAGAATTGAAAACAAAGATGTCCATGAGAGCTTCAATAGAAAATATTACATAGAGTGAAAGGGTTTTTGTTGATGCCACCGAACAAATGGTGGTCGTTCAGCCATAGATTGCCAAAGTAAATCTGGGTAGATTGCAAAGGAGGGCGTTGTTTGCAAAGTTTGATGGGGAGGGAAATCACAATTGGTTATGTGAGGAGGAGAGAGATTGTTGCATTTTGGAGGAGATAGGGGTGGTGGTCACGGGTGGGAGGGACAATGGCAACGGGGTTGGGTTATAGGAGGAACGACAGTGACCGGGGTAGGTCTCTAGTGTTGGGTGGGGAGGGTGTGCTGGAGCTGGTTTGCGTTTGGGAGATTAGGGATGAAAATTGTAATAAAAAAAAACAAAGAAATGTGGGGGGTACAAAATAAAAAGTGGGGGCTATTAGTAGTGCTCTCTAAGAACATTGAGGGTAATTCTATTTACACAACAATTTTACCTCATGACACTATTTTTCTAATTACACATCCCTAAATAATTCAAAAATGTTATTTCATCTCGTTACACACTTCTTTATTCCACATATACTTTCATCCCTAACCTCCTCTTTTCTCCTTACACCCAAAATCTTTCAAACCCTGAGTCCATCTTCAACTACTACATCTGCCGCCACCTTTGAGCACCACTCCGCAACCCCATTGCCATGGTCACCACCTCACAACCCCCTGGCGCCGTAATCATCACTTCGCAGCCTCCCCCGCGACGACCTGTTTTGCAGTTTTTTTTATCATGTGCATTGTTCGGAGAACTAGAACAAATGGCGGCACACTACTGTACAAATTTGGTTTGTTTGGTTGGAAAAACGGCCGAACAAATAAAGTTTGTTGCGCGGTGTCCTACCAAATTGGTTCAATTGATTAATTAGCATGTTTGGCCATAGAAGTCCGAAAGTGAAGACTGAACAATCTCAATTTGTTCAGTGAACTAGAGCCGAAAGGATTTGAACTCACTTTTTTCAAATAATTTGAAACTAACCTAATTAATCTCTCTCTCTCTCTCTCACTTCAATTTATTTATCTATTTATTTTTTAATCTCAATTTAGCAAGTTGGTAAATATTCTTTTCTCTATATTTTTTATCTAATTTAGTATAAAGATCATCATAGACTTTTAACTTAGCATCTCTAATTGTCCTTTTTAACCTCCTTATTAATCAATTTGTATCTTTTAAAATTTTCTTCATTTTTATTCTTTTGCCACTTTTTAACATTCATTTTTGCAACGACTTTTATTTCAATATTTCACTACTAAGTATCTTTAGATATAGTATTTCCTTTGACTCTTCAAGGACGTCTTTTGATATTATTTTAATGCATTCTGCTATTGTTTTTCCCATGTTATTAGTATCACCTTCCAAAATCCGCATTGCTTCTTTAATCATTTTATCCTTAAATAATTTTAATTTCTCATCTTTTAGATTCCACCATCTAGTTTGTAGGTTTCTAATATTTATTTTGGGCTTGATTTTTTCCTTTAATGTTGCATTCTTTACATATTAAGTGATATGTTTTTCCTATAAGAAAATAATTTATTTGACTCTTATTCGGTCCTTTTTTAAAAGTTATTAAGTGTTTTTTTTTCTCTTTTCAAAGAAAGTATTAGTTATTATAAGAGCAAATACTATTGCGAAATCTAAAATTTTCTCTTTAGTTTTTAAAAGTTATTAGTGTTTTTTCCCCCCTTCTCTTTTTAAAGAAAGTATTATTTACTATAAGATCCAATACTATTGCAAAATCTAAAATGTTCTCTTCAGCCTCATTCCGACCACCAAAACTAGATCCACCGTGTATCCTCTTGTACCCTTGCTTATCTTTTTCTACATGACCATTGAAATCTCCACCTATAATTATCTTTTCGTCTGTTGGTGCTGTTGCATTAACTAATCTAAGAAGTAACACGTTCATAAAATGAGTGTAGCTAAGATGAGAATGCTTAGATGGATTTGTGGTAAGACTAGGAAGGGTAGAATTTAAGACGAATATATTTGGGAAATGGTATGAGTAGAGCACAAATTGAAGATAAGTTGAGAGAGAACAGGCTAAGATGATTTGGTTATGTACAACGAAGACCTATAGATGCAACAATAAGAAAGAGTGATATGATCACCATAAATGAAAATGTTAAGGGGAAGAGGAGACCTAAATTGATGTGAGATGCGGTAGTAAAAACAGATATGAACTTATTTAATTTAATTGAGCACATAGTCCATGATAGAGTCGAATGGAACAAAAGGATGCATGTATCTGAGCCCATCTTAAAATGTAAGAGGATATGAGTTAACACCATGGCAATGAAAATTTTGGAAGTGATAGGAAAAAAGGTGAGACTTGATGGGTGGTTATATAACTATCTCCATCAAATTACATATTTATACTCTAATGACTTGGAAAAAAATCTCTAAATAATGAAGTAATGAATTCTTGGATTTTTCTTGGAAATAATAAATGCGACATGCATTTAGAAACAAGCTTCACCATATGGGATGTTGCTTTTATATGATAATTTTGTTTTTTTTCCCCATGTAATATAGTGTGTGTATATATGTAAATATATTTGTTGTCTTGTATAAACTTTAAATATAATTATATAAAGTAAATATAATTTTGGCTTCGTTGTCTTCTATCTGATTTTGGTGTACCTCAGTCTTCTCAGAGCTCTCTCTATTGCAACAACCACAGTGCTATTCAGATTGCCCATAACACTGTCTTCCATGAGTGGATGAAGCATATTGAGATTGATTGTTACTTTGTTCGTCAGCATATGCAGTCTGGCTCTATTTCACTTCCTTTCGTCTTTTTGGCTCTGTAACTTGCTGACTTCTTCACCAAGACTCACCACTGCTTGATTTCAGTTTTTTCTTGGCAAACTCTTAGTGTTTTTTGCTAAAACACCTTGAGTTTAAGCGGGGGTGTGAATATATTAGATTTTATGTGTATATGGTACTATATATATTTTGTATATATTGGGGATTGAGTGAATAATTTGTGTTTTCTTTTTCGTTCTTGGATTAGATTTTTATATAAACCAATGTATTCTTATATTACACACACAATTGAATATACAAAAAAACATTCAGAAATCTTACAATCTGTTCTGATGGGAATCATGATTTATTGCAAGTTCGGAATTTGCCTATATAGTAATGCTTCGACTTATAATTTTTCCCCCTAATTGATTGCAACTAGATGATGTCGTAATAGATACATGATTCACTACTACATTGACATTATACACTTCTACCTATGAACAGTTAGTGGGTTGGGCTCTTGGAGACTTCATTTATGTTTTGTGGCATTGTACAGCTATATATAACTTAGTGTCTGTGACTTGTGTATTCTGCAGATACATGTTGACTGAAGAAGGTAAGGAAGCAGCGCGTGAATGTCTCTTGAGAACTGGTCTGGTTGATTTGACTGAGAATTGGACTACTACAGAGAGACTTTCAAATCTGGACGCAAGCAATATTTCAGATTTAGAATTTGCTCGTGCTGACATGGCTAAAGAAGTGACATTGGGATCTGTTAATTCAAGTTCGCAGAAGAAATTAATTGATGTTCCGCTCGAGTCTCTAGATAGGGTATACTTGCAGTATACATATGATTTCAATCTTTTTAATTATTATTTATTTATTTTCACTATTGTTAGGTTTACTCACTGTTTGTTTCCTTATTTCAAAGAAGAAAATAGAAAATAAAGAATATAACTGAAGTAAAAGGAAGAGAAACATGAGGCCTGAAAAATTTCTTTTATTTGGATATAGACAAGAAGTGGAGAGATAGGAAAGGAAAAGTGTAGGCTTATGTGCTGTTTGATAAAATTGAGAACTGAAAATTGAACACTAAAAATTAAGTATTGAAAATTGAATACTGAATTTTTAAGTTGAAAAGCTGTTTGATAAAAATTTAAGTGCTGAATTAAAAATAAATATTTGATATTTATAAAATCAAATTTAAAAATTATTATTTTTAAATTATATATTTTAATTTTTATATTGTGATGGTGGCAGTGGCATAGTGGTGGTGATAGTGATAGTGATAGTAATAGTGGTAGTGGTGGTGGTGATGGTGGTAGTGGTAGTGGCATGGTGGTGGTGGTGGTGGTAAATGATGGTGGCGTTTATGGCAATAATGACAATGGTAATGAAGGTGATGGTAGTAGTGGCCGCGGTGGTAATAGTAGTAGTGATGGTGGTGGTGGTAGTAGTGGAGGTGGTGGTAACGGTAGTAATGGTGATAGTGGTGGTAGTAGTGGCGATGGCATGGTAGTGGTAGTGGTAGTGGTAGTTGTGGTGGTGATGGTGACTGTGGCGGCGGCGGTGGTGGTAGTGGTGGTGGTAGTGGTAATGGTAATAGTGGTAGTGGCATAATGGTGGTGTTAACGGTAGTGGTAGTGGTAGTGGTGGTGGTGGTGAGTTTATAATAGTGTATATTGATACTTATGCTTAGTATTTATAAATTCAGTCATAATTAAGTAAGTTTTATATGACTTAAAATTTTCTTAAATTTTAGCTTACATTTTAAAAGGCACTTAATTTTTAAGTGATCAATTATGGTTATCAAACGGACTTAATTGATTATCACTTAATCAATTCAGTTTTAGGTGTTGAATTATGTTATCAAACACCCCCATAGTGTCACGACCCCATTCTGCCCCAAACATGATAGCATTGTGACTGGCTAGTAGTACTTGACTACCAAAGGCCTAGCAAGATAAGACAAGGTTGGACTAACCATACTTGGGGCTTATGAGGAAGCTTTAATCCATTAATTATCAAAAGTCCATTTAGAGCATGTGCACAAGTCATATGAAATTCAAACATGCATACCTCTTGGATTGATATCTTGTTTATTTACAAAGTTCAAACGACAAAAAGAAAGTACATCATCTTAACTACAACCTTCCAAAAACCAAAACTGATGTACAAGATTGTCTATTCAAAGTTACATCTCCCAAAAGTGCAAAAACAAAAGAAAAACTTCTTAGTGGACTTCTCTTCATTATTGTGTTCTTCTTCATCACCTACATACATATAGGGGGGAGAGGTGAGCCATTGCCCAGTGAATAGTAATATAGTAAAGCGGTAAATGAATGAACGTCGATGAGCTTTATAAAAACATAACACAAGAATCATAGCTTGAACATAGCTTAACAAGAGCATGATAATATAAGGCTTGACTTTCAAACATTTACATAGAGATGAACATTCTAAGGACCTTGAAAGTCTATGAAGCATAGGTACGGGTACGAGTATTGGTACTGGTACGATACGGGTACGTCGATACGGTAAAATTCAAAAAAAATAAGGTACGGGTACGGCTTGGTACGCTTGTAAAAAAATATTTATTTTTAATTTAGAGTAATGTAAAAATTAATTAAATGGTTTAATTTGTTAAGTTCCAACCTATAATTGACATTTAATGCCAAAAGGAAAAGTATAAATCAAAATTAAATGTCAATATATTAAATGACTTACAAACCATAGTTTAATTTTAAAATCATGCTAAGCATAAAACAAAAATTAAAAAAGAAATCTAGTGAAATGAGTTTTATCTCTGTAGTAGAAGGAAAATATTGTTTCAACTGAGGTACAGTACGGCTTAGATATATACTAGGTACGTCTGGGTATGTCAAAAATTAAGAAGAAAAAACTTGGGTACGTATTTCGTGTACCCGGTACGTATGCAGAAGTACCATACGAGGTACGGTACGCCGGTAAGTACCCGGTACGGGTACGGCATGATTTTCGAAGTACCCATGCTTCATAGTTGAAAGTGAATAACCGGCCCGGTGCTGGTTAGACAATCCACCCAAAGGTGGCAAAGAGCTCGGCCATCATGGTGTTATGGGCATGTTATGACGTCCCCCAATAACTAGGACGTTTCCAAGGATGTAATCTTCATACATGATACAAGAATATAGGATGTTCATTCATAACAAAACGATAGCATAGCTTTCATAAACATAGCATAGGTTTTGCATTTGAATCATATAACTTTACTACACTACTACTCACAAATGGCTCTTGAACAAAAGGGTTTCTTCCTCCAAAAGTGCTTGACCTACACAAAACAAGAACAAAGTATTGAAAATAACCTAACTTGCAAGTTTTAATATCAATTCAAATGTTCTAACTTAACTTAGTGTTTCCTAATCTTCTTTTAAGTTGTCTAGTGCTTTCATACTTCAAATTCAAGTGTTAATCAAGTGTAAAACAAATGTCAAAAGCATACATAGAATTGCCCTAGGTGTTTGAGGATTGAAAAACATGAAAATGTGCTGAAACAGGGGGTGCCCCATGTGCAGGGACTCAGGGCCGCATGTGCGGTTTTGTGCAGTGTCGAAAATTGTTTGCTAAAATTTGGGCCACACATGCGGAAGTCATGGCTGCTAGTGCGGAAGTGGCTGTTACTCGAAATTTTGTTTTTGAGTCCAAAATTCTTATTCTTTTCCTACCTTTCTCAATTTCTTTCCAAGGTTCCAAAACATGATTTTAGGCTAGCAAAACTCTTAGAATTTACATGGAAACATAAAGATATATCTTCTTATGGAACAAAAACATCAAAAACTAGATTGAAATAGCAAGAATCTTGATTACCTAGCTCTTTCTACAACCTATCCTATTCTTCTTCATTCTTTCTTCCATGACTTCATTGCTAACTCAAATTAATCCTAACTTCTTCTCAATCATAGATAGTAGGATCTATTTCTACAAGAATTAGGGTTCAAAACTTACCTTAGGATGATTCAAGGATGAATTTTTTGTGAGTTCCGTCAAGCTCTCTTCTTTTTCTCCTTCTTTCTCTTTTCTTCTCCTTTCTTCTAGTTCAATCTTTGATCCTACAGATTTTCTTCTTCTTCAATTTGGTTTTAATCTAGCAAGATAAGACAAAGGTTGAATTGAGACAAATAGGGAGGTGTGTGTATCACCTACTTGCTTGCTTAATTTATTTGCTTAATCTCAATTACTTAGCTTAATCAACCAGCTCTTCTTATTACAATTGTCATCATCGTTGTCACCACATCTGTGTAATCATTGTTGCTTCTTTGTCACTGTCATTACAGTGGACATTTTTATTAATGATGAAAAGTTACTAGTCATAAATCTCACCTAGAATATAGAGTTGTTTGAAAAGTAGATGGGAGTGGCAGTTGTCATGGTGATTCCTTTTATTTTTTGTGAAACTGTATTACTTTATATTTGTTTTCTGATTCCACAGAAAACTCTAGTCTGTGCTATTTATTTCCTTATTTTTGAACTTTTGATACCATTAGGTGAAGGAATGAAGCAAGGACCTATTATTATAAACATAAACTAAAGTTTTGTTCTTTTGGAAAGTTTTCAAAAGGTAAATGTGGCTCCAAAATAGTTATCAAGTAATATGAAACAGAGGAATTGAGTTCATTGGTGTTGGATTAATAAAATATTTGTTGTAGCTTTTGGTCTTAGTGTTCACTTTTATCGTGCATGTTGATTGGAAAATTGAGACGTTACATCTTCCCTAAGAAGCATAGATACAGATACATATCACACATTATGGACACACCAACACGACAATTAAAAAAAAAATAAAAAAATTCTGACACGACATGAAAGGACCCAACAAATAAATATATATTATTCGTACACATAACAATAATAATTTCTTTGTTTTTTACATTATAATTACATTTATTTTTGCATTGGAAAAGAACTATTGTTTCACATTGAATATTGTAGAAAATTTAATGTATAAAGAGAAATAGAGAATTGTATTATTGATTGATATGTTGATTTCTATTACAATGATTCATGATTCCTATATATAGAAGAGGGTGAGTGTGTAGTAGGTAAGGAGTAGGTGAAATGGAGGTGGTAGTGGTGTAGTGGGTTAGGTTTAGTGGAGTAGGTGATGTGGTAGTGGTGTAGTGGGTTAGGTTTAGTGGAGTAGGTTTAAGTGGGTGAAGTAGGTGGAGAGTAGGTGGATTTTAACAAATATATTGAAAAAATGTATTTACAAGTAGTCCTGATATTTATTTCAAAAAGCTATATTCACAAAGAAATTGGAAGTTTAGACTAGAGTTCCTAAAATTAGAAAGCCAAAAGAAAAAAGATTAACAGGTATAAACCAACATTGTTTTGAATTTTGTTACTAGTTCCTAAGTCATTTTCTTTAAACTTGTGATGTGTTTTGTGTGTTCAAGTGATAGACATGCTTGTCTCCCAATTGTTTCAAGTGTGTCAGGTTCTAAAAACATATAAAAGAAAATAAGAGAACATGTTTGTAGTTGTATCCTACACTTGTCAGTGCATATCTACCGAGTGTTGGTGTCTGACAGGGACATGACACCTTAGAAGTGTTCGTGTTGACGCCTTATTGGTTTCAAATTTTTAGGGGCCATTGATGTTCTCTCTCTCTCTCTCTCTCTCTCTTATTGGTTTCAAATTTTTAGGGGCCATTGATGTTCTCTCTCTCTCTCTCTCTCTCTCTCATTGAATTGATCTTCTATCATGTAGTCCCTTTCTTAGAGCACCATGACCCATTTATTTTTGCATTGTCTCATGGCTTTGAGTTTGTGGCACTGACTCTTTCTTTTGGTGGAGGTATTGTGGGTGGCTCTTGAGGTGACTATAAGCATGCTCTTAATTGATTTTTGAGGTTTTGGTGGCAAGAAAGGGCAAAGGTGTTGTAGGTGTGCGCAATATATGCAATTTTTTGGTCATTTGGTTGGAGAGAAAACACAAGGATTTTTTAAGACAAATTTGGGGATTTGGATTATTTGTAGGATAAAGTTTGTCTTATGGCATCTTTATGGGCTTTTGTGGCTCCCTTTTTTAAAGAGGTCTCGCTTTTTTGATTTCTAGTGACTGTTTGTCAGTGTGTGACACTTGGTTTTTTTTGCTTGGTTTTGTGTTGAGTTTTTTTTCAATTTCTTTTTGAGGAATCGTTGTCCTCTCTTTTACTTTTTTTTTTCTTCATGAAAATCTTTTTTGTTGTTGATTAAAAAAGAGAAGAAAGTATAAGCTGTTAGAGATGGATCTTTTCCATATAAATCTAGAAAAGTATTTTAATGACACCAGTATGTAAATGACTGATGTTGCCACTGCATGTTTAAGGCCTTTTAGGCAACAATACGCAATGGTTATTTGTATTCATCTTTCTTTATAATTTGTTCTTATTGCTGCAGTACTTCCACTCATTTTACCTGTTAAAGTGGGTTTTTATTTAATTTTTTTAATGGAAAAGTTATAGCTATGGAGTATGAATCACCTTGTTTGGTGCCAATTTTCTGAAAATTGAGTTTTTTTTTTTTTCATTTTTCATTTTTCATTTTTCGTGTTTTTTTTATTTTTTATTTTAGTGAATTTGTTTAATAAATTTTTTACTTTTTAGATACACTTAATATAAATACATATAAAAAGTATAATATTTGTGAAAAAAACTTTAACAAAATTCACTAAATACCAAAAATACAAAAAAAAAAAAAGAAAAGAAAAGAAAAGAAAAGAAATTCAGTCCATGTTTTTAATATTTTAAGCAATTTTTTTACTTTTTAGATGCATCTAACCTAAATGTACCTAACAAGTAAAATATTTGCAAAAAATATTTAAAAAATTAATAAATACACAGGAATGCAAAAAAGTAAAAAAAATTGCTTAAAATATTAAAAAAATTTACTAAAAAAAAAAAAACTCAATTTTCAAAAAATTGAAATCAGAAAATTTGAACCGAACGAGGTGAATAGTTTCCATTCTAGGTTTGAAAGTTCAAATGTATCTTTTGATTCCTTTCTTTTGGTCGTAGTGTTTTAATAAGGCTGTGTGTTTTGAACATGGGTGTTTATATATTTTTGTGTTATGGGATCATACCACTGATTTATGGTTACTTCATGTAGTTTTTGCGCATGGGGTACTCAAAGGAACAAATTCTTTGTGCTTTCACTGAAGTTTCAGAAACATCGCAGAACAAGGAGATCTCTTCACTCTGGCCGGCTGTTTTGTGTCATCTTCGAGAAGAGCAAGTTTATGGTTTGCCTTTGGAGTCTCACAAGACTCTAAGAGAGGATTGTCTTGCATCATCAAATACTTCCAAATCTAGGGATGGTAATTAGCTTCCCTCAAATGTGTGTCTCATGGATGGCATACAGGATTTACTTTTTCTCTCAACGTCGTCTTAATTGGGTACAATGTTAATATCCAGGTCAAGTAGATCTTTCAGTGATTGAGAATAGTCAGATGGAATCTAATTGCAGTGGTGCATTACATATTACAAACTCTTCATGCCTTCCTGCGGGCAGCTCCTTTACCTTGAGAGCTTGCTCATCAACTGTAAGTTTCGATAGTTGATAATTCTACCTTTTGCATTAGGCATGCCTTTTATCTGAGCTTTACATGTGTGTCATGTTCTCAAGGAATCTTTCCTGGATACGTGGCACGTGATTGTTGGTGCAGGGCCTTCTACAACATGGCCTGCTAAAGTACACTAGTGCCAAAGATATAATGATTGTACTTCTTTATTTTTATTTTAAAAAGTGATATGTTTCAAGTTCCTCCGGCAATTTTTAATGAACGTTTAACCTAGTTTAGCATGTCAAATTTAAGTTTTTTTTGAAAGCTTTAAAACTTTTTGTCTTATAGATAGCCAAGGTGGGCTTCATTTTTTGTTGGGTCCCTGATCTTTTATTTGTTAGCCGCCTGTGAAACACAGGGTGCTTCAAAGTAAAGTTTACTCTGTTCTAAGATTTTCCTTTTTGCTTAGTTATCCAATATGATTTGCATATTTCAGGATATACTAAACATTCATAATAAATTATGGATCCTCTTTCTACTGCATGTTGTAGGGTTATCCCGTGTTTAAGCCAGGTTCAGACGGTTCTGGAACTCATATAAATGCTTTAACAATGCCACCTTTAAGATTTGGAGAGAGATTTGAGGAAGCATATGAAGTAATTTTGATATTGGATGATCGTGAGCAATTTGCTACTCAGGGGTAAGTAATTTCCTCAACATTGCCAATGTTTATAATGAAACTAGTTGTCTCAAAGTTCAAATTTGTTTGCAGAGGTATAGGCTATGTGCATACAAAACCCTATTATTTGGAAATAACAGCTTAACCCCTTGTGGTTGATGGTTTTATTTATTTATTATTTTTGGTGATGTGGCCCATAAGGATATTGCCCATGTATGGACACCTGCATACAAGGACTACTACGGATTTTTTTTTTCGTACTTTGTTTTGATGCATGATTTGGATTGGATTAAAACCATGCACATGCACCAGAGGATTAATTCCACTGCAGTCTATACCAGTGGAGTTGTGTAACTTTATGCCATGATTGTGGGATATTTGATTGGCATAGTGAAAAGGGAACCAAAAAAAAAAAAGAAGAAAACATTTGGAGGGGCGTTTAGAAGTCTCCATCTTTGCTAGCTAACGTAGAACAAAAAGGACAGGGAAGGGGAGTGGCGCCAGCCTAAGAAGCACGAACATGGACATGCAATGCGATATTGACACGAAATGGATATGCCTAATCCGCGTCCATATAAGCTTCCACACTATGATGTTCATGTTTGGAAAAATAAAGACCTTTTCTAAGAGAAGATTTCAAGTATTTCAAGATTCTCATAATTGCCGCCAAGTATATTTCATGAGGAGCATGCATGAACTCGCTAACCACACTAACAATAATAGCAATATCAAGACGAGAATGAGATAAGTAAATGAGCTTACCCACTAGTCTTTGATAACTTCCTCTCTCAACAGCTGCTCTCTCATTATCATCACAAAGTTTCTTACTAGGCTCCAGTGGTGTGTCACAAGCTCTGCTTCTAAGCATTCCTGTTTCCTCTAACAGGTCAAGGACATATTTTCTCTGACAGATGAAAATCCCATCTTTGGACCTAGCCACTTTAATCCCCAGAAAGTACTTCAAGTTCCCTAAGCCTTCAATTTCAAACTCACTTGCCAAATACTTCTTCAACAAAGAGATTTTCTCAACATCATCTCCTGTAAGCACTATGTCATCTACATATACAATGAGAGCTGTAGTCTTACTATGAGAGGAATGTTTAACAAACAAAGTTTGATCAGCCTGACTCCGTTTGAAGCCATATTTCAGCATTGCTTGAGTGAACCTCTCAAACAAAGCCCTAGGGGATTGTTTGAGGCCATATAATAACTTCCGAAGTTGACATACCTTACCCTTGGTTTGAAGGGTTTCAAAATCAGGAGGAATGTCCATATACACCTCCTCTTCTAGGTCACCATGCAGGAAAACATTCTTCACATCAAACTGATGAAGTGGCCAATCCAGATTAGCTGCTAGAGAGAGGTATTCTGACTGAATTCATTTTTGTAATCGGAGCAAATGTCTCTTGGTAGTCCACCTCATAGGTTTGAGTGAAACCTTTTGCCATAAGTTGAGCCTTATACCGTTCAATTGAACCATTTGCCTTGTGTTTCACAATATATATCCATTTACATCCTATGGTTCGTTTGTTCCTAGGTAACTTAGTCAAATGCGAAGTGCCATTCTTATGAAGTGCTTTCATTTCCTCCACCATAGCCAATTTCCACTCAGGAATAGTAAGAGCATATTGAAAATGATTAGGTATACTAATAGAAGAAATTTTTGACACAAAGACTTTATATGAAGAGGACAAATGAGAATAAGACAGTTAGAAATTGGATAATGAGTACAAGATCTCATAGCCTTTCTCTTGGCAATGAGTATATCAAGATTAGTAGGCTCATACTTAGAGGTAGCAGTATCAAGAGTTTGACCTTCATCAAGAGAAGGAGATGGCAGTGATTGATCATAATTAGTGTTTTGTATCCAAGTAACTTTCTGTCTTTCTTTATCATTGACATAAGATTTGCCCTTCTCTACTCTTGGCAACCTTAGATTCAATATTGCTAGTAATAGGTACCACTAGTGGTATTGGGCTAGGAACAATTGGAGGAATAACAGGTACCACTGGTGGCATTATTGGACCCACCTACTCCTTACCTACTACACTCTTATGAAGTGCTTTCATTTCCTCTACCATAGCCAGTTTCCACTCAGGAATAGTAAGAGCATCTTGAAAATGATTAGGTATACTAATAGAAGAAATTTTTGACACAAAGACTTTATATGAAGAGGACAAATGAGAATAAGACAGTTAGAAATTGGATAATGAGTACAAGATCTCATAGCCTTTCTCTTGGCAATGAGTATATCAAGATTAGTAGGCTCATACTTAGAGGTAGCAGTATCAAGAGTTTGACCTTCATCAAGAGAAGGAGATGGCAGTGATTGATCATAATTAGTGTTTTGTATCCAAGTAACTTTCTGTCTTTCTTTATCATTGACATAAGATTTGCCCTTCTCTGCTCTTGGCAACCTTAGATTCAATATTGCTAGTAATAGGTACCACTAGTGGTATTGGGCTAGGAACAATTGGAGGAATAACAGGTACCACTGGTGGCATTATTGGACCAGAAATAATAGAAGCAACAAGACTCTTCACACCAAGACTCCCCCTGTAGAGATGACTGGGACACTGGATTGGACAAGCAGTAGGATTAAGGCTCAAAGAAGGTGACATATATGGATACAGACTATTTACGAGAGGGAGGATAATAACACTTGTACCCTTTTTGAGTAGGAGAGTATCTCAAGAACACACACTTGAGAGAACGAGGATCCAACTTATCCTGAGAAGGAGAATGATTGTGAACAAAACACACAATCAAAGATTTTTGGAGGAATGGAAAATAGAGACTCAAAACCTAGTAGGACTTGAAGAGGAGCCTTTTTTTGTAAGACGTGAGTAGGAAGATGGTTAATGAGATATGCAGCAGTAAGAACAACCTTGCCCTAATAGGCCCGAGGGACACCCATAGAAAAACATATATAATGAGCCATATCAAGGAGATGACGATTTTTGCGCTTGGCAACCCCATTCTGTTGATGGGTGTCAGGGCAAGATGTTTGATGGATAATGCCATGAGTGAAAATATTGTGCTAACCCACAATCAATGTACTCACCCCCATTATCAGAATGCAAGACTTTAACAACCATCCCAATTGGGTACTAATCATCTTATGGAAGTTTTGAAACATAGAGAAAGCCTCACTTTTTTCTTTCATGAGATACAATCAAGTGGCATGAGAACAGTCATCCATATAAGTAACAAACCATCGATGACCCTCATTGACAGTGCATGAAAGGGACCCCAAACATCAGAATGAATTAGAGAAAAAGAAACTAAACTTTTATTATTACTAGGAGCAAAAGAAGCTCGGTGTTGTTTGCCAAGTTGACAGGACTCACAATGAAACTCGGAGATTTTATTTTTTATTAAAATAGAAGGAAATAAATGTCTAGGTAATAAAGAAGATGGATGGCCTAGATGATGATGCCACAGCCATAAATCTTCCATGGTGGATGGAGACTGGATGGAATGATGAGCCAGTTGGTCAGTCTGATCCAGGATATAGAGACCATTTTTTGTTCTACCATTGCCAATCGTCTTCTTCGTGATAAGGTCCTAAAAAAGACAAGAATTAGGAAAAAAAAGTTACACTACAATTCTAATCCTGAGTAAGACGACTCAATGGCAATAGGTTAACAGAAAAATTAGGAACGTGTAAAATAGAAGATAAAGGTGGGGAAGGGGTGTCATAGATTACACCTTTCTTGGAGACGGAGGAAATAGTACCATCAACAATGCTAACTTTATCTTGACCAGAGGCGAGTGTATAGTCTAAGAAGAGATCAAAAGACCCAGACATATGATTGGAGACACCAAAATCAATAATCTATGGTGAGGCCTTATGGGATAAGAGAACGCTAGAGGATGAGGCTAAGTTACTTGAATGGGCAAACGAAGAGAAAGAAGAGGATGCACTTGGAGGAATAGGAGACTGACGATCAAGCAGATGGCGCAGAGTATCCTCAAACTCAGAAGATGACCCTCAAACTCAGAAGATGACATACCCAGAGACTAGATTAGAAGTCTGCATAACTAGAGCTGAATCATGTGTCTTTACATCATTGGACTGATGAGCATGAGAGTGAGATCCACGTCCTCTCGACTGACTAGAACGACCGCCTCTATGACTTGAGTGATCCCCTCGACCCCTTGATGGAGTACCATGAAGCGTCCAACAAGTCTCCCGAGTATGCCTCGATCGGTGACAGTAATCACAAAACAAAGTATCCTTCCCTGAAGGATGAGGAGAAGGAAGTGATAAACCAGCCCCATTCGGAGAAGGTGCAGAAAGTAATGCTGAATGGTTTGTAGAAGTTGGTCGTAGCATAGCAGAACAACGACTCTCTTCATTCTGGACATAAGCAAAGGCCTCTTGAAGAGATGGAAGTACATCCATGCCAAGGACACAACTCCGGATCCGGGTTATACTCCACATTGAGGCCGTCTAGGAACTCGAAGACCCTCTCCGATGCAAGAAACTTTCGGTAACTAGCGGAGTCAACGGTTTAGACAGGCTTGTAATCCAGGAGATGATCTAGGTGTTTCTAACCATTAGTCAGAAAGGTGTAATACAAAAAAACTGTTTGCTTCCCTTGTACCGAGTGCTCAATAGATCGACACAACTCAAATGACTAATATGTAGCAGTTATTGCCTCCTAAACATCCTGGGCAGTCTCCATGGACAAATAACCTTCACCAATCTTAGGGACCATGGAATAAATGAGCCACCCCATGATCAAAGAGTTGGTGATCTCTCATTGATCATTGTCAGGATCAGTAATATTTGGTGCTTGAACTCTTCCATCAACATACCCTATCTTCCCTCTACTTTTCAGAGAAAGTGTCAAACATTGAGACCATGCAAGGTAATTCTAACCATTAAATAGAGAAGTGGTCATTTTAAGGCTACGGTTTAGGTTCTCAGAAGTAGTAGTCATAATTGGACTGGTACTCTCCCTTTCAAATAAGTGGAAAGTAGGGGATTCACTAGATGGGTTAGCCATTTTTAT